TACTACTACTACTACTACTACTACTACTACTACTACTACTACTACTAGTGACAAGAAGCTACTAGTAGGTACATTTACACCCACAATGAATGGAGCCCGTCCGATTGTAGCGCCAGCTCTACAGCTTCACCTCAAGAGCGCAAGAGCCACAATCCTATCGTGTTTCGAAGCGTCCCTTGTTGTCGTTCGCTCCTAGCTCACGGTTCTTCAAGAAAGCTTCCCTCGGTTCTCAGGCGGGGGGAGCTTCCTGCCCTCAAAAGGGCTCGCACTAGTAAACAGGTTCCCCTGCAGTTTAGTGCGAAGGAGTAAGTTTTAATGTGTTTCCTCAGTTTAAAGCTTAAGCCCCCTACCATAGAGTAGAGGGGTTAAAGAGCCTCCCGGCCCCCTCTTGGTGAGACACCCTCTCCCTCTTCTGACTACCTGACCTGCACGCGTGCGGGGAAGGTCAACAGAGGGCGGGGAGGGATACTCAGCCTGAGGGGTAAGACCTTGAGACCTCGCATAGGCGTAGGCTCACATTGTTCGGCTCATGCACGTCCAGACTGGGATACAATCTAAACGCTGTAAAAGAGGGCTGTCCTGAAACAATTTGTGATCCCCCTCTTCCTTGGGGGGTCCCCCTTGCACGTGCCTCTTTCTCAGGTGGACAACCTCATGGGTTGTAAAAGGGGCACGGTGGATACCAGTATTTGGTTGCACCTGGACCCGTTATTGAACGGGCCAGGGGTGTTTCTGCTATAGTGGATTCGCTAGCAACCCGGGGGGTACAACTGTTTCAAGTCTGCTTGTGTTGGTTTCGTCAGGTTCTCTGCTGCTCTGGCCTCATGCTGTTGTGGGGCTGGTTTCTGTGGGATCTGACTTTGTGATGAATCTCCCCCATTGCGCAGTTGGAGAAACGAAACTCGTGACCACTATTCCTTTGGTCTCCGTTCGTAGCGATGCCCTTTGTTCCGTTCGTTTTAAGGCTAGGAGCCCTAGTAGGGTCGCTCCTAGTAGCGATGCCAGGAGCCCCGTTCGTAGCTTCTAGCCCCTAGAGATTTGGTTCCTAGATTTGGGGGGAATCTTAACTTGTCTCCCTGCAAGGCACACAGCAAAGATAAAGCCGCAGTCCACTCAGAAGCCTTGCAAGGTCTTGTCACTGATGTCACTGTCTGGATTAATTGAGCAGGAATAAAAACGCTACTAGGAGCAAAGGGCATCGCTACTAGGAGCATGGACGCTACTAGGAGCAAGACTCGAAACGTTGCGAGGCACTGGTGCCCTTTCGTGCCTTCTCACAGCTTGCGAGCACAGCTGCATATGCCACACCGTCAACTTGTAGCGATCTCCTGCGTGAGCTACAGCCAAAAGTCTGAGACCATAAGAGGCTTCTCGACATCTTTAAAGCTTGCTTCTTCTGGCCTCCAATCTGTGGCATTTCAATTATTTGGGCTACTTTGCAAGCCATACACCAAATAGATGAACAAACGCTCTTATCCGGTTCTTGTGACAATTGCAGTCTCACGCACATTTTGGCCAAGCCGACAGCCCTGCAAACATGCACCCAAAGCAGAGTTAAAGGTGATCTCATCCGGTAGCACTTGCAAGTCCATCAAGTGATGTAGCAAATGCCTGATGGGTGAAAGGAGCTTGAAGCCCTAGCAAGCATTTGAGTGGTGATTGTCAAAATATATTGTGGGTCAAGAAGACTTTAGAGCACAACCCAATGTATATATATTATATCCCCAGTCACCCTCAATGACAAACAGTACTTGTCACGCCACTCTTGGATCTGTCAGAACAAGATTATTGGAGCATGTGACATGTGTGCCATATAGCAAGACTGTTCCAAGCCATGCTGCAAAGCTAGTTGCCATTGGCATCCTTTTTCGCACGCACTGATGATGCCTTAGAGTCAATCAAACTCCAACAAGTTGTACACCATTCATACCTGCATTGGCATCAAGCAGCACATTGGTCGAGAATGGTCGATCTTTTTTTCAGCTGAATCTTATTGGTATCCTGCAAGGAATACCACGTAACTGATTGCGGGTGCCCAGCGTTCAGAAGCACTCAATTCTTTCCAAGACCAACTCACCCATGGAGGTTTGTCCCGAATCGTTTCTGACCGCTGCCTTTAAGTGGCAGGCGACAGCTGAACTCTGGCCCAGGTGCTGTTGAGTGTGACCAAAGAGGCAGCGATCCGTAGCCAAGCGAGGGATCTGAGCAATTGAATTCCTTGATCCCAAAGCGCAGCCTTCGCACAGACCTTATGCCAGGAGCGTCCTTGCTCCTAGTAGCGATGCCAGGAGCCCCTAGTAGCGTCCATGCTCCTAGTAGCAATGCCCTTTGCTCCTAGTAGCGTCCTTGCTCCTAGTAGATCATGTTCGATCATGCTAAATTTTGTAGCCTGGACCGAAACAGCCAAGACCTACGGACCAACCACCCGTGGCCACAGGTTTCTACTGACAAACAATTGCTACTGTATCACCTCAAGCATAACAGGGCTGACATGGACAAAACACATCCGTGGAAGCATTGGAGTATCATGAGCCTTTGGAGAACACACATTGACACGATAACACAAAAGGTGACAATGAGACCAGCTAGGTGCACAACCTGCATTCTTGTCTTAAACCTCCTACACATCCAGGCATCAAACAAACATCTCCTACAATTCTTACAAATCCATGTGACGCTGATGGCCGCATTGCAGTGGATCTCTGAGAGGCACTGCCCCAACCAAGCACCAGAAGCGAGCCTGGGCAGTCAATCATGAATCTCCCAAAGGCCTTCTCACCGTTCTGAAATTGGAGGACATGACTACTGTAGAAGAAACCATTCTCACCAAATGCGGTCGCACTTATAATAGGACCGTGGTTTGGCAGTTTCTTATGCAGCAATTTCATCAAGCCACTGTGCGAATGCATGACACCATTGACTTGTAGCTTCATAGCTGACCAGTAAGCTGCCTTGACTGCTGCAGGAACCCTATTTTTCGCACGACAAATCTGGTCAAAACGAACAACAAAAATCTACTGGAAAACACTCTGAAGGAAACTTCGTCGAAGTGCCAAAAGTCACTGGTGACACTTGGAGATCCACCTCGACTCGGCAAGAACGAAGATAATCACTGCAGCGAACATGTTCAGCTTTACAGCTGTAAGCACAAAAATGAAAAAGTCTTCCCAATATTTCCCAACTCCAAGCGTGGCCTGATTAGGTTGGAGGCCATCGCTAGTAGGTTATTCCAAGAATTCCTCCCCCTTCAAACTCCATCCTTGCGTTCTGCGTCTGGGAACTTCATGCATTCGTCTCAAGAGCTTGGAAGCAGCTGTCCAGTGGCCCTCCACTGCAGCTGCAGCGCTATTGAAGGTTATGACGTCCGGCTGCAACGACACACCTTTGAGGCTGCAAGGGCGCACGCTTTATGGGCACTTGAAGGGCTTTAAGGCACTTTTCGGACCAGCGAAAGTATGGTCCAAAGCTCTCACAAGGATCACAACTGCTTTTCGCCACCTGTCAGGTGAGGGCTGTTAGAGTCAGAGTTTCACGGATAGTCTTCTACTCCTTCTCCTTCTCCTTCTCCTCTGCCCCGGACCTCAACAGCAAGCACCAGATCACAGTGGGCAGTCTTGGACCTCAACTGCAAGTGGCAGATCACAGTGGGCACTGCCGGACCTCAACCGCAAGTGGCAGATCGCAGTGGGCAGTCTCGGACCTCAACATGCAACACACAACCAACAACACACAACCACAAAAACACAATCTAGGTAGGACGCAGGATAGCTCTTGCTTCTTCAAGGAAGCTCCCCCCTGCCCTCAGAAGCGCTCGCACTAATGATTTGGTTCCTAGTTTTTTACGGAAACTTAGTGTTTTTGGGAAACACCTGGGGATCCAAAGCTGCAAGACAAGGTAGACAAGGGACCGGACACACTGCAAAGCAGCTCGCTGGAGATCTGCCACTCCCGAGCTTTGGCACACGAACTGCTCGCACTGTTGTAACATGTGGTGTTCCTCACCGCAAACAATACTTGCAACATCACATGTTGCATAAGAATGTTGATGCACAAGATTAAACGCTCCAAACTGTGAAAGAGCCGGACAAAAATGATCCCGAACTTAACTATGCCAAGTTACGCCCTCTCCGCTGAGTCGAGGGCCCCAAGGGCAAAGCGCCATTCACAAGCCCGATCCAACGCATTGATCCTGAAAGAATTGGTTCACGTGTTAGCAAGAAGCTACTAGGGGGGCTCCTGGCATCGCTACTAGGAGCAAGGACGCTACTAGTAGGGGCTCCTGGCCTTACTACTACTAACAAGAAGCTACTAGGAACAAAGGGCATCGCTACTAGGAGCAAGGGCACTGCTAGGGGCTCCTGGCCTTACTACCATGAGCAACGAAGCTACTAGGGGCTCCTGGCATCGCCTCTCTGAATTGTCTTGTTGGATCAAAGTGCTACAAATCGCCAGTCTAAGCTGCTTGGTGCCGAGAGAGATCACATCCGGTTCCAACGTGGCAGCAAAGCCCTTTTCCAAGGCATCCAGGACCATTGACCTAGTGGGTTGGAGGCCATCGCTGTTAGAAACAGTGAAAAAAGAAAAGGAAGAAATGCATCCAAGACCATTGACCATTCCGAAGCTCCACTGGTGGCCCTCAGCGCCAGGTTCAGCCCGAACAGCTCAACAGGTGACGATCTGGACGATCTGGACCTGACGACAGGTGACTTCACGGACTTCAACGGGATTTGACCACTTCGTCCTTCTTTGTTTTTTTACATCATCAAGTAGAGGCTACCCACTTAATTCTAAGTAAGGGCGACTAGTTTGCGAAGAGCTCGCACTAATGCCATTAATAGCGTCCGATCGCTCCTAGTAGCGATGCCAGGAGCCCTTAGTAGCGTCCTAGTAGATTTAGGGGAACTCAACTCTTACAGCGAAAATGCTGCCAGCACAGAAGAGTGGACACCAAATGCAACGCCACCCACCAGCCGGATGACTCCATTGCAGACATCCTCACATCAGACGCTGAGAAACTTGAACTAAGCCAGCCAAGTCAACTCTAGCTAGAAAGACTGTCATTGAACGTAACCTGCCAGGCCACGCTGCCACGTTGCGGTTCCGGACGCCACCAAAGACACCACGGGCGGTGTCGAAGTGGGCGAGACCCAAGTGCCAACCGGCCTCCCTGAGAGACAGCTGGACCGAGCCTTGGAGAGCAAGTTGGCCCGCCCTTACTTGATTGAGTATAGGCAGTATAGGTGCCTACTTAATTGAGTAAGGAAGTAAGCTACTAGCAATAGGAAGCTCCTACATATGGACGCAGGATAGCTCCGGCTAATGATATGGCTCCTAGAATTTTAGGGAAACTTAACCTTGTGTGATAGTATGGGGCCATTTGTGTTCATATTCTAAGGCAAGCATAGTGGTGTGGGACATAATGAATGCATCCTGCTCCACTAGGTAGAGTATATTATTTGCTTTAACTTGCAATGGAGCCTTAGTAGTGCCGAGTAGTCAAGTTGTGAAAGGTTTAGTGGTTCGTGGAACCCAGGGATCTCAGCAACACTCAACTGGTCACATTTACTTCTCAAAGAAACTACTGCTGATCTGTCGGTAGGGGATCGTGAATTGCAGAACGGGTTCATCAATGACTGCTTAGTAACGATATGAAGTTACAAATGCTACTCGATTGGGGCACCGACCAATGCTGATCGCATCGGGCTCCAGGTTTCTGGTCGCAAAAAGGCTTAGGGCGCTCCTGGCTTTAGCTAGAAGCATTGCTCAACTCAAACAATTCACTCCACGCGGTTCTTCTTCACATGGCCTAACCCCTGACTCTATCGCGGGGGAGTGCGATAGAAGTGCACCTCCACTTGAGCAACGCTAGGGCACTGTTGAGGCTTCGCAGGTTCGGCGAGGCGCTCCAACACAGGCAGCCAAGTACTGACAAGCCTTGTGCACATGTCGCAACATTGTCCAACTGAAGTATGCTAATATACTACATACTACATGGATTGGAAGGGAGAGAAGACAAATGTTGCTGCTGCTATTGATCTATGCTTGCTAGAGATGATTGGACTTAAGTACCCAGAATAGCAAACAGACTCGGAACATGAAACAATCAGAATGATCGACTTTCTGTTTGGTTGATAATTTAGATCGCACTTCTTGCGGGTCATTCGCTCCTATAGGCTTGAAAGATGCCAGCCTCGTTCCCATGCAGAGCGAAGACGAGACATAATCACATTGTAGCTGGAGACTTCCGGAGTCGCCTCGGATATGACGATTAGTAGGGTGGAGGCCATCGCTACTAAAGTGGAGGCCATCGCTAGTAGGTTGGAGGTCATCCCTAGTAGGGTGGAGGCCATCCCTAGTAGGTTGGAGGCCATGCCTAGTAGGTTGCAGGCGATGACTAGTAGGGTTGAGGGCATCGCTAGTAGGGTGGAGGCCATCACTAGTAGAGTGGAGGCCATTGCTAGTATTAGTAGGGTGGAGGCCATCGCTAGTAGGTTGGAGGCCATCCCTAGTAGGTTGGAGGCCATCGCTAGTAGGTTGGAGGCCATTGCTAGTAGGGTGGAGGCCATCGCTAGCAGGTTGGAGGCCATTGCTAGTAGGTTGGAGGCCATTGCTGGTAGGGTGGAGGCCATCGCTAGTAGGTTGGAGGCCATTGCTAGTAGGTTGGAGGCCATTGCTAGTGGTTGGAGGCCATTGCTAGTAGGTTGGAGGGCATCGCTAGTAGGTTGGAGGCCATCGCTAGTAGTTGGAGGCCATTGCTAGTGGGGTGGAGGCCATCGCTAGTAGGTTGGAGGCATTGCTAGTGGGGTGGAAGGCATCGCTAGTAGGTTGGAGGCCGTTGCTAGTAGGTTGGAGGCATCGCTAGTAGGTTGGAGGCCATCGCTAGTAGGTTCGAGGCCATTGCCAGTAGGGTCAAGGCCATCGCTAGTAGGTTGGAGGCCATCACTAGTAGGTTGGAGAGT